GGTTAAAATTGAAATTAAATTTTGGTGTAAAATTATGAATATCTTTTAGCTGTTTAAATGTTTATATGCTGTTATTTTTTTAATTGTTGAAAATTATATGTTATAATTATTTAGGTAAATCTTACTTTAGGGGACTAAAAACACTTTTTCGGTAATTTGGCAGATTTCGATAAATTGTCAAATATGCAGTAATTTAAAAATTGACAACACAAGTACAAATTTAACAGCTATTGATTTAAATTTTTACCTGAGAACTTCTCGATGATACTTGTTTTTGGATGATTTTTCTGGATAATACATTCTTCTTTACAGATAAAGTGTACTTCTTTCTGCCATTTTTCCCGGTTGAAAATCGATCATGAGAAATATCGATTACGTTCGAGAATCGTAGGATGTGTGTTCCGTATTTCACCGTTGGCGCTGTAATCGTTAATTTAAACTCAATACGCGCGCACTTTATACGAAATGTTAACTGAAATAAAAAATAAAAAATTCTGGTCTAAATCAAATATATAACATTCATGAGAAATTCTTAGAAAATGACGAAAATATTCATACTCTAGATGAAAAATTGTCAGTACTTTAAACTGTTATAAGGTGTTTTTATAAAAATCTATTGAATTTATCGTAACTTACTTTCTGACATTGATGGCGTCCGTTTCAATTTCGTAGCGTCTCTCTAATACTTCGAAACAATCCTCACTTTCCTCAACCAATCTGTACAAAAGAAAACCAAACTTTCAAATAAATGTACGGAAAATATGAATTATTCGAAATGAAACAATGTTAAAGATTATATTTTAGAAGAAAGTTCATATATAAGCTACCGGTAAATATTACAATTAAGAAAGCGATCAAAGAAAATAAGATAATTTAGTGATAAATTATAATAATATTCGATAAATTATTGTATAAAGACTTACGTTAATAGGCGAAATTACTGTGTGGATATAAACGTTGGAAGGATAACGATGAAAGTATTTCAAGAATGCAATTATATCAGACGAAAAGGTACGTCCTAACAACACAATTTTAGACACAGGACTAATCCTCTGCGCAACAAGTTTACGTCGCGAATTATTGTGATGGGGTGGGGGCATACGAATACACCAATAGGATTAGAGTAATTTGCTGGAAAACTGAAGTGTCCTATCAGAAGATTTCTAATAATGAGCCAATCATATAAATTTGTACATAAATAACTTTGTATAACTTTTGGGCGCCAATTCAATTAATCGTTTCATACTACATTATGAATTTTGCCACTTTAATTACGATAGCCATGTCTCTAATATAAAATATTTGAAAACAAGAAACCGTTCACATTTTTCTTTTTTCATTATGCAGTGTTATATATTTATATTATATTTATAATATATAATATATATTTATATATTATATTTCAGAATTATCAATTAATAATTACTTCTTTGTTACGAATAAAAGAAATGTGAAATTTAATTAATGTAATTAAGATATTTTTATAAATTTTGAAATATTTCTTAATGTTGTGAAGTATCTATAAATATTCTGTGATATAATTGATTTGTGAAAATACGCTTTTCAAATCTATCTTGTATCAATCAAATATGGTGTATTTTTTTGTTCGTCAAATAAAGTTGCAAATGACACAATAAACATCATATTCAAACTTGGCAAAGATAGTGTTCATTTTCAAAAAAAACTTATCTTTTTCAAAATATACCTTATATTATCATAAAAAATTATTAATCCCTCTAATACTTCAAAATGTTCCAATCAATTAACAATCTGTATCGAAATTTGAAAATAGACATGAATTACTTTTTATTTGAAATAATGAACAAAATTAAGTTTCAAATATTTCAGAAGCTTTTGAAAGTTCTTATCTGAGAACTTCTTTCCTCAGAGACTTTCTTTTGCTGTGTTTCCTGTTTAAAATTGAGAATCGCAATAAATCGTAGTTGGAAAATTTCACCGTTTCACTGGCGCTGTCATCCTAACCTAAATTAAGATCATTGCGCGCGCGTTTTGTACACAGATACATTGTTTGTAATAAAAACTAAAAAACCTTCCTTTTCTAATTAAATAAAACAATAAACTAATATAGTTTAACGAATATATAGTTCTTTAAATAAAACAATAAAGTAATATAATCGAAATGTCCGCAATTTTAATATTAAATATTGATTTATGAATTAATTAATATGAATGAATTAATGTCTCGTCTCGGTATTTTACACTAATTAATTATGCGAGAAATCGAAATGATATAGAAAACATGCTTCTAAGAGTTTAAGTTTTAGTTTATTTCTCGAACAATTCAAATATTCGGCTCGTAATTCGATAAATTTAATTTTTTAATTTCAGTACGAGAAAATTAGTTCCATTTTTCGTCACTAGATGGATTATATTATTTCGTTATTCACAATTGGATCAATTTTTCATTTACAAGAAAAACTAGCTAATAAAATTAATTTATAATCTTTTGCAATTATACTTTGTCTAATTGAGGTTCCAACTTTCTTCCTTCATTGTATTTGAGCTTCGAAATGCAATGTAATCAGTAATTATGAAACCGATAATGACGCATGTGACACATAAATGAATTTAAACGGAGATTTAAAAAAAGTTGAATTTTAAGTTGTTCAATTTGTCTTCGTCTGTATCTGTCATTAATTTCGAGTGATTTGAACAGAATTCTGCTGTCCATATATCATAAAGATTTCGATTTTTTCTGAAATTGGTATTTCAGAACATGGGACAGATGAAATCACATTTAATGTCATATCTATTCTTTCCTTAATCAATGACACAGACTAGGTATATGACTGACGATAAAGAAAAAGTTTATTATAACGATCGAGCTACTTCAAAAAATTGTATACATTTCTAGTGACGCATCTATTTCAATGTTATTTCATGATTTGTTTGTACAGCTAAGAAAAGTATGGCGACTTGGGAAGGTGAAAAATTTCAGGAAATCGGAAATGCCGATGATATTGAGGAAAATTTTGATAACATTCTCGTGACACATGATCTTCAGGATTGTCTGGATGATAGTTTAGATTTAACCAGTTTTGAAAAAGTGTACGATCAGAACGATGTATTTGATTATGAAAAGTATTCCGATGACGGTGCCCCTATTGATAAAAAACTATCTAATGATGATGCCTCCGAGTAAGATCACATAAATTGTTTGTATTTGCTACTTTGTGTGTAATGTAAATTTGTCTTGTATAAACTAGATATAAAAATTGGAAAATCAGTTAGAAGACATAAGTTATTAACCTATTCGTTTGTGATAGCAAATAATCTTTTATGTGACATCCTTATAAGGATATAACGCAATTTCAAATGAAATTTTGAGTTATAAAATTTTGTAAGTATTCATTAAAGGAAGGTCGGATTCCCTTTGTATTTTATTGAAGTTTTTTTGTTAAATATATTTAATTGTACAATATTTAATACAATTTCATTTTTCTTCAATCTTAATTTAGATTGTCTTTTTGGTTTTAAATATTAACTATATTTTATGTGCAATAATTTGCTGTCTTAATATTTATATTTTTGTATTGCTGTTAATATTGTATTATCTGCATAATATTTTATTGTCCTTGTGTATCAGGAAAGAATATTCTTATTAATAATATTTATCTAATTTATCTAATATTGATTTATCATTTTATTGTATATTTTTAGTGTTGTCTACTTTTTAAGTAAAGAAATATATAAATTTAACTCAATAGTCATAGATAATAATATATTCAACTATTACTTATAATTGATATACATCATGTAGTTTCATTCAATCAAAAAATATATATTTTAGTATAAATACAATTATAAATATAAATAAATTAATATATATATATAAATAAATTAATACATATATATATATATGTATATTAATATAGGTCAATATATCATTCTGTTGGTCCTGATGAAATTTATATGCGGATTCATTCTGATCAAGATGATATTTCAACAAATGAATCTTCGCATGTTGCAGTTGAGAATATAATTCCAGATACAAATCAAAAACATATTGGTCGATATACCTGCGAATATGAAGGTTGTAATAGAACATACAGTACAGTTGGAAATCTACGTACTCATATGAAAACACATAAAGGTAAAAGATTTATATTATAAAAAATAGAGATTTTTCATAAATTTTTATTATTTTTAGTTTTTGTAAAATGTTAATTTTATCAATTTTATGTAAATAAAAATGAACATTTTTTTATATTACTAATATTTAATGTGCTTTATATATAACAACATATTATAATAATTTTATTTTTATACTCTTCAATAGCTTAAAGTATTAACGACAATATTTTATAATTTTTGTAATCATTCTTATTTTACTTATGTAATAAAATAAAATTATTATATGCTTTGCATGCTATGCTTCTAGTATAATGCACTATGTTAATTTATCTTTTCTTTTTTATGCTTGCTAAGCCTAAGGAAAATAAGGTAAGCTTATGAAATGTTATTGATGTTATATTTTTTGTTATTAATGAATAAAAAAGTACAAAGTCTGTTTATGTTTTACAAACTTCTTGTGTATACATTTCATCAGTTATAAAATCATCAATGCTGGTATAAAGGGAACGCTTTGACCTGCATGGCTTTCAGATACTGCAAGCAATAGGTACTCCCAGCAAACTTTTTATGTGGAGGGAATTCTCAAAACTTTCAGGCGAGTATCGATTTAAATGTGCAGAACCAAATTGTGGCAAGGCATTTCTTACATCGTACAGCCTTAAGATTCATACTAGGGTACACACAAAAGTGAAACCATTTGAATGCAATCACAAAGGCTGTGAAAAAGCATTCAATACCCTTTACAGACTGAGAGCTCACCAAAGACTTCACAGTGGCAACACATTTAATTGCGAAGAGACTGGATGTGTTAAATTCTTCACCACTCTAAGTGATCTCAAGAAACATATTCGTACTCATACTCAAGAAAGACCTTACAAGTATGTTTTTTTAATATTTATTAACTGAATTTTATTTTTAGTAATGGGCTTACTATGGTTTGATATTGGTCTTTTTTCTATTCTATAAACTTGTAATAATAATCTTTTTATTTAATATAAACAAAGGATATGCATAAAATTAACAGTAAGAGATAAATATAAACATTATTAAAATCGTAATATACAATTGTATTAATATTAAAACTAAAACTCTGGATGTGCACTATTCAACTTGCATTGTCCAATTTTTATAATCTTTGTCATCTTAACATTAAATGAATTATGTAAAAGAAATTTTATATGTATGTTTAGTATGTTAGTGTATATATATGTATAAACATTATATATATAATATGTAAATATATATATATAGTATGTAAATTAGAAATAAAATTATTTATAGATATAAACTTAGATATAAAAGCATAAATTACCTTTTTAGATGTAGAGAAAAAGGATGTGGTAAGGCCTTCACAGCATCGCATCATTTAAAAACTCATAAAAGAACACATACAGGAGAACGACCCTATGTATGCACTACAGGCAATTGCAAACGATCTTTCACCACACCTCATAGTTTAAAGAGTCATTTGAGAACTCATAAAAAAACGACTGATAGCAATGAGACGGTATGTAAAAAATTTTGTAATATTATTATACACTTTTAAATACTTCTATCATATTGTGTTATTTTATGACAGAAACATGAAGTCAATAAAGATAATTATAAAAACCAAAGAAACAGTAAGATATTGAATACGGAAATCGACGTTGATGAAGTCACGTCGAGAAATACAAATGTGCCATGTTATGCCATTATACCGTTATCTTCTAATAATACAGAAAATAAGGAAAGTATTACTTTTTTATCTATAGAAAATCCAAATGATCAGTCATCTTCTACAAATGATATGATAGATATCTTAAATCAAAATAGACTAAACAAAGAACTTGATTATAACATCACTAATAAAGATACTGAAAATTTAAATAAATCAACAAATGTTACTCTTCTTAATTCAGAAGATATTATCTTAAATAATTTTACTGAGCATGCAATTGATAATTTTAATAACAATGAGAGTTATGATAAATTTAAAATGTTTAATGAAGTAAATGATTCGAATTTACGAGATCAAAATCAACAATATAATTCTAATTCTTCAATAAAAGTTCAAGATAGCAAAACAGATAATAGAGATAAGTCTAATGCAATAAATTTAGAACAAAAAATTATACAAGATGGCCTACAAAATACTATTGCTCATATCGCAGAAGGAACAAATTTTACAAGTGATATGCAACAATATGTAAATGATAATTCTATTGATGAGGAAGTTTATAATAATAGAACAAATGTAAGTGAGGTTGTTAAAAGTAATAATACCACTTTGTACAACGCAAATTCTGTTACTAGTCATGTATCAAATATAATTAATTCCTCTAATGAGACTCAATTGTTTGATAGTGAGATGGAAAATTTACCATTTATTAATGATAGTTTACGAACTAGATCTCTTAATAACGACGTCGAACAGGCATTAAATTGTAATGTTATTTCAACTACGCAGTCAGAAGCTGTTGAACTTGCTATTGCATCAGAGGAGGAAATACCTTCTCCTTGGATAGATGTTATGGCAATGGCAACTCCGTCTGCTTTAAGAAGGCAATCATGGTCAGAACTGAATGCTTTTCCAACAGCGGTTCATTTGTTAGTTGATTTAGTTGAACCGGAACCATATCCATTAGAAAACCAGTTACAACCATTACAGCAAGTGGATAATGTAAATTTAGTAGATGTGGAAAATATTAATATTGAATGTACTGAAGTTACGCATAAAGAAAATAATAATGATAAAGAAAGAGAAAATAGTACAAAAATAAAAAAAAATAGAAATATCCTACAGGAAATCACAGCCGAAGCAGATATATGCAAATGTATTGATTGTAAGTGTGATCAATTAAAAAATTGTCAAAATTGCTCAAATAATATAATTCCTGAAGTTAATAAAAAGCACGTTTCACCGAAAATGGTAGACAATTATGTATCTTGTGTTTGTGACAATGAATCCAATGGGTCTTGTTGTGTTGTTATTTGTTTAAAAACATTACAGCAGTTGCAAAAAGTATTCAGTCGTAATTGTTGTAAAAGCACTAACAGTGTATCATGTTGTACAGAAACGTTGTTACCACCTTTAATGAAGTGCCAATTAACAAAATATCAATAAAGCAAATATTTTAGTGTGTAACTAGTCATGTTCAAAGAAACATTTTTATATAAATATTGTAAGAATTTGTTATTTATCATAATATATAAGCTACTAGTTTTTAAATGTATTTTTCCTTATAAATGTCAATGTTTAAAAATTTTGTCTAGGACAATCGAAAATATGGGACTGTGTGTACATTGTCTCAAGATCTTGTTATATAAATATGTAAATGTTATATATTTTTACTTTGTCAATTTATTTGTAAATTTTTTACTTAAAAGTTTTTAAATGTACATCGCTGTTGAATAATTTTGAATAGTTTATAGAAAAAAAATTGTATTATTGTATCATACTGAAAAATTGCAAAATGCCATTGTAAGAAACTAATGCCAAATTCGTGTATTAAGTGTATGGATACAACAATGTACAATTACTATGTACATACTATTCTTATACATAATAATTATTGTAAGATACTTGAATTCAGATAATATTGATGAATTACATGGTATTTACAAAAAAGTCAATTATTTATGACCATGCGCGTGTGTGATGTACTAAACATATTAATGGTTGAAAAAAGTAAAATATTTATTACCTAGTAATGGTTTTCCAATATACAACGCTTAGAAGATATGTAACACGTTAAATTACGGAATTCAATTATAAACCAGTGTGACAAAATATATTAAAAATTGTATTTAAAATTAAAATTATGTTGTTATTAAATGACATTAATTTTTGAACTTAAATATTAAATTACCCCAGTTTTTTTGTTTTTGCAGCATTAAAAGTACTTGTTAAATATAATACAAGAAATCAAGATGTACCTTTACATGTTTTATATAAAAAAATTGTGTTAAATAAAATTTTACTTTAATGTAATAAATTATTACATAAACTACGTTTTGTTATTTCTTTTTATATAGTGAAATTAGCTGTATTGTTGTGTAGGAATATGATAGACAGTAAATACATGATCTAAGAATTTAATGATACATATAATGATATTTTAATATGTACATAATGCTTGCGCAATGTTTATGATAAAGCTTGTACTAAAGTTTCTGCAACTTCAACTGCAATTGCTGCTTCGGCTTTATCTTGTTCTGATGTTGCAGATGAAAGTTGTTGCTGAGCTTTACTAAGAGCTTCTCTAGCTGCAGATACATCAAGATTTTCCAAAGGATGAGCTTCTTCTGCTAAGATCTGTCAATTTTTTTTTTATTTTGCAGTATTTTACAGAAGAATAATATAAAAACTAGTTAATAGTTTCTTTACATACCTGTACACTATTGTTTTCATTTATAGTGACTGTTCCTGAGGAAACAAAAATTTTTTTAACTGATCCATCTTCTTCATATACTGTAATTACACCTGGTTTCAATACAGCCAAAGTGGGGACGTGTTTTGGTAAAATACCAAAAGATCCAGAAAATGACGGTACATCCACTTGTTTTATTACACTTTGGTCATAGAACACCTACAATAATTTTGTTACAAATTCATAAAATTGAAGTTTAAAGGAATATGTATATGTTATACCTGATTAGCTCCAGCAAATGTAAACTTCATTTCATTGCTAACGGCTACTGCATCGGCATAAGTTCTTCTTTGATTACGAATATATCTTAAATAAGGGCGTAAATTACGTGTAATAGTAGCCATGTTAACACACTGTAATAAAAAATTATTTATGAAACTATGAGAATTAACGATACTGCAACTGGTTACATCATAACCCGATCTACATGTATCGTCCATCATAAATTTGAACGCGTTAAAAAGTAGAAATACATATATGAAATATAACTTGAACTTTAATAATTGTAAGTTCAATAAACTTATTTCCTTTATTTAAATATCCTTCACGCTGTATATACTTACGTTATAGCAACTATTAGAGATATAAGTCCAAATTGGAATCAGTCACTGTGTCAGACAGACGAAATCAAAAATGATTGATAAGGATGACAAGGTTCATATTATGCTCAGACGATGGCATTACCATCGAGATGTTTCAGTAGAGCCCTCTAGTTTAAACGGGCCGATTTAAGTAAAATTCAAATTTAAGTTCTCTTAAAAAAACATAATTGAATTGATTTATACGATTAATACGAAGAAGTTCAGTCTTTGTTTTTAATGCACAAAACTATTGCATTTAAACAAAGAATTTTACACATGAGTTATTTGTAAGTTATTTATTTATACGTTTATACATACGTTCAATAATGTTCATATGTAACGTTCACATCTGATGTTTTCAATCCTTCATAAGCGCTAATTGCTATGTGTGGCGATGAACAAAAATTGTGGATAAATTATTTCATAAAAATTGAAATTTTATATATTACTAAAAACAACCTACTATATATCTTTTATTATTTCGTGGCAGTTAATAGTCGCAGTTAATAGTCGCAGTTAATAGTCGCAGTTTTCTTAATAGTTCATATGAATGGTTAGTATAAATGAACGATAATAAATTCCAGATTTGAGGTTATATCTCATACAGAAATTTGATAAAAAAATTTTGCAGATTTTATAGAAAAATCTGAATTATGGAAATATATTATTGTATGTTTTATAATGACAACTATTGCAGTATCAACTATAGATTATTACATATGTAACATTAGGTAATATTATATATTCAGTTTATTTGTATAATATATTATATACATAAATAATAACTAATTTGTTAATAGAAATATGCTATATTTTAATTTCTTTTTTTTTTAGTTACAGAGATGTAGCGATACGAAAGGACAGAAATTCAATAATGAAAAAGTAAAATCACAGTTTTATTTTTATATCTCTATCATTATATATTTATTTTATAAGTTAACAATGGTCTCATACTTAAAATATAAAAGCGTAATGATAAGTGTTTTAATAAGAGATTCTATGTATGATAGAATGAATAATTATCGAATCGATAATTAACAGAGTTAAAATTCAATTCAATAATTTATTTAATTCTTTCATTTAGTTCCTTTTATTTACTCTTTTCAACTGAAATATATTGTTCCTACAATACATTTCTCCATGGAATAAATATTTTTGTATATAGAATATACTATACATTCATACATAACAATATATTTACAATATCGTTTCAAATATTACAAAAATAATTGATGCCTTCGACTTCCCTAAGTCGATTGCTCTATAATAATGAACGAGTTATTTTTGAATATGAGAATTGATTTTGTACATTAATACAAAATCTCACGATTGAAGTTCTACTACTAAACATCAATTCCATCGGACGAGGTATCTGAGGCCTGATCAACGTCTTGGTTTTCTTCATGTCTCGATTTTAGATGTCTTTCAAGATCCCTCTTTCTCACAAGAAGTTTTCCACATAATGCACATTTGTAAGGCGTTTCACCATCCATGTGTAATCGTACATGTTTATTTAAATTGCTGGGATCTCCGAATGGTCGCAAGCAATATTTGCATTTTAAAGGTTTGTAACCGGTATGAGTTCTGTAAATAAAGCGAATGTAAAATTCAGAATTATTTTCTAATGTTTTTGTAAGTTCGTATAATTATTATCAAAGTGATATAATATTATCAAAGTGATCAAAATAATTTTTCATGAAAATTTTATAGATAGGAAAAGAGTGTATCGAAGAGAATAAAACTGGCTCGACAAGGATCAAGTAATAATTACTTTAAATTCTAGAAAATGATAGAATCTAGATAGAAGGTAACGATAAAATGATATCAAGCAAATTCTTTGAAGAATATAACAATATAAATTAATTTGAAAGAATTGCAAATGAAATGTTAACGTTAACGCAACGTTAGTTCTTAATGCATTGAGCATAAGTTAGATAGTGGATAAAATAAAATTTAGAATACTAACCTGATGTGAATTTTCAGACCATATTTCCTCGAGTAAATTTTTCCACAATAGATACAAATATGTCCTTGTCTCGATTTACCAAGGTTGCTGACGATCGTTTCCATTTGCTCTGCATGAATGTCTGTACCGATCGGTGCAACGGTCGTTTGAACATTGTACGGCGTCAAAACAGTTTCGTTCCTCATTAATGGAGAGACGTTTTTGTTTTGATTCGCATATGGCTTGAAAGCAGAGTATCGATGTGGTATATCTTTTCTTATAGAAGTCCGTTGAGTCGACGAATTCGATGAAATTTGTGAGGAAGAATTAGAAGAATTAGAAGAGAGTTGATTCGAAGAAGACGGAGAGATCTCATTGGGTGATTCTGATGAATTATTGTTAGTTGAAACAGGATCGGTAGTACTTGTCGTTTGTACTGATGTCGGTGACATTCTGTTGGAAGGAACTTGCGATGATTTAGTAAGTTTGAATTTGAAACTCGATTTGGAGGCGGATAAGTTTAGTTTTAGCAACGAATCAAACTCCTTTGCCAACATGGACCAAAAATGATTACTGTCCAGTTGACTGCACTTCAAGGCTAAATGTATCTTTAAAGGATTGGGATACTCGAACAAATTGTTGCATACGTGACAAATGTAGCAATTCTGACCTGAAATTGATACATACGTATTATTTAGGTATAATATGAACATATATAAATAACTTATAGAAATCTGCCTTGCTAATTATATAAATTTATCTGCTTTGAGATTAAATATTTAGGAAAATAGGTGTCTTACGTTGTATATTGTGTGGTTTTAAAAATGGAATGTCCAACATTGCTAGAATATTTTCGTCAAACCACATTAGCAGTGGTTCACCAGGATTTATGTCTTTTAACGTTTTTAACATTACACCCTTGTCGTTGATCATCAAAAGTACATTGCTACTCTGACAGTCATTCGCGAATGTGATGATCTTTAACCAGCAAGAAGTGCTTACGAGATCATCTATACAATACAATTGACCTTGCTCTTCAGCGATTTCAACCTATAATCAATGCTGCGGCTTAGATAATTTACGTGATTTTGCTTTTTTTTTTTTTTTTTT